CAGGAAGTACAAAATGGCTTAAACAACATGATTCTTTTGAATTCTATATAATGTGTTGAGTAAACTATAATTAAATGACACACGTAGGTGAAAACAGCTGGTTTGCCTTTGCATAAAGTCTAAAATAGTATTCAGACTTGTGACCAGACTTGTCCCTCCATAAAGAAATAGGTGAGAAGGAAAGGGCGAGCAGGGAGAATTACAGAGTGCATGTAAGTTGGTTACATCTTTGGAATAACAGCAGTGAAAGGAATCCAGTTATTACCAGATGCTTTTAAGGAACTCAGAAAAGAGAGAGGTCAACTGATTTATTAAATATTCAGAGAAAAGACACTAAGACAGAGAAAAACATTAAAGTTGAGAGGGGACTGAACAAACGTACTTCTGTATAGCAAGACATGCTTCAGAATAGAAATAAACGTTCACCAATTAAAATGTCTTTTGCCAAAAAATAGATAGCTTCTCGCGTTCGGTGGTACTGAGCAGAGAAAAAGCTATTTTAGAGAGAATGATGGGAAGAGATAAGCCTGCAAGCCTTCCAAATAGTAATTTTCAATAGTAAGCATTACTTTTCATCATGAAAAGTAATGAAGCAGTAAAATATGAACCATATCAAAAGGTGTATTTTCAAGAGCTATTTGAGAGAGACTGTTTTCCTAACATGCCTTTCAAACCTCTCAAAATGATGTTGGCAGCTTCCTTATAGACCCTGCTTATCTAGGAGGAAGCGGATTTTTTTCAGGTAATAAGATTTAATCAATTTCTATTATCAGAATTATAATTTCTTTAGCTTGCAACCTGACAAGAGTACAATTTAAGCAATTTAAAGTAGCAAGAACATAGTAAGATGAGTCCTGGATACAAGCATTTCTTTACCTTCCTTTCCACTTCATGTCATAGAAGCATCAACATTTTCCCTTCAACAGGATAGATTTCAAATAAAAATCAAGGCTTGAACACTAAACTACTAATATTCACTGAAGCGGACTTCCCTGGTAGTGCAGTGGTTAAGAATCCACCTTCCAATGCAGGAGACATGGGTTCGAGTCCTGGTCCGGGAAGATCCCACATGCCGCAGAACACCTAAGCCTGTGCGTCCCAACTACTAAGCCTGTGCCCTAGAGCCCGTGAGCCACGACTACTGAGCCAGCAAACCACAACTACTGAAGCCCACGCACCTAGAGCTCGTGCTCTGCAACAAGAGAAACCACCGCAGTGAGAAGCCTGTGCACCACAACAAAGAGTTGCCTCCGCTCGCCACAACTAGAGAAAGCCCGCGTACAGCAACAAAGACCCAATGCAGACATAAATAAATAAATACATTTATTTATTTTAAAAAAAGAATAAAGAACCCCCCCTTAAAAAAATTCACTGAAGCATAGTAGGATGACACACAAAACAATGGTTTCACTTCAGAAAGAAACTGGACATTCACTGGGGTACAATTATTATAGGTTGGCTGCTTACTAAAATTATTTTCTATTTTAATAAGAAAGCACTTACATTTATTTATCACTGGAAATTGGAAGTTGTATTACACATCTGAATTCTGAGGTTAATCTACACTAATATTCTTATCCCTGGTATGTATAAACAATCAGAATTGTCTTTGAGTATTGTCTATCAGTTGAAGCAAAGAAAGCCAACAGAATTTCATTTAATTAAAGATTACATTTCCTACATTTGTCTAATGTCACTACATGATTCACTAAGGTAAAATCTATATCCAATTTATAATAACTTTTTTGAGATAAATGGAAATGCTTTGTATCAGTCTGATTCCATTATTAATGGATAGTTCTTTGAAATAGAGAATAACTGAAAAGGCACTGAAATGGAAAATTTCCCTCTCCTGATATAAATTTATTTCACTTTTTATAAATTTAAGCAGTTCGTGATTACACTGGCATTTTGCAATGACAAAACTAAAATTCAACCAAAGGGAAAAAATAAGTTAATATAATTAAGAATTAAATATCTCATTGTGCAACCTAGTAACTGCATTACTATCTCCAACTCTCACATACTTCATACTATCTATAACTAGCCAGTAAATAAAAAGAACACAGTTAGGGTGAACTAATATTTTTGGAATTCCAAAGACCTTTTGAAATACATTGGATACATATAACATAGATACTCATTTCATAATTCCATCTCCAGCTTTTCAAATATTGCCTTGCAAATTTTATAGTGAAAGTGTGTAGGGGAGATTATTCTGACATTTTTGTAATTCATTTAAGAAATATTTATTATTTCTAGTTCCTCTTCTACATTTACTCTCAGAATGTTTATTTGCAAATAATAGAACCCCAGTTTGAATAATCTTTTTTGGAAGACACCAAGGGTTTCATGAAGCAAATGGAAGTGTTGATTAAGTGTGATGGAGCCATGTGTATAAGTCAATGAGCAGGCAGAGAAAGGAGACCTGCAAAGAGAGGAGAAAGCAGGCCTGCATAGAAAAGCAGAGAAATAAATATTCCCTAGCTCTACATATTACAGCTTCAGCAAATAAAGATAAACAGGCTAGAATGACAGTAGGGAACAAATGGTGAATGTAATTCAAGATTATTTTATATAGATTGAATCACGTCAAAAACATTTTAGTAGGGCTTCCCTGGTGGCGCAGTGGTTGAGAGTCCGCCTGCCGATGCAGGGGACACGGGTTCGTGCCCCGGTCCGGGAAGATCCCACATGCCGCGGAGCGGCTGGGCCCGTGAGCCTTGGCCGCTGAGCCTGCGCGTCGGAGCCTGTGCTCCGCGACAGGAGAGGCCACAACAGTGAGAGGCCCGCATACCACAAAAAAAAAAAAAAAAAAAAAAATAGTCAGGCCTGGATTCATGCATTATCCCTTCCACTGCTGCATTGTAGGACCCTGGATAAGTCACTAAACTTCTTTTACTTAGATTTCCTCACTTGTAAAATAAAAATACAGGGATACTATGTGCTTCATAGGGTTTCTTTGATGATAAGTTCTATAATAATACAATAAATACAAAACATAAAACACTTAGCACTGTTCTTGGAAGACTAAGCGCTTAATAAATAAACTGGCATGGATATCAGAAAGGTTCTAATCTGGGTTTGGGGTATGGTAGAAGGCACAGACAGAGTGACAATACTTTATATCAGATAGGTGGCTGAGAGAACTGGAGAATGGAGGGTGGTGCTTGGTTCACAGCAACAGCGGCTGTGCAGAGCCAGCCAGTTAAACCTGGATCCTCATCTCAGTAGGCGATTTGAGATGTTGACCAGAAACTGACTGGAACTCTATCCTACAGAGTGGGGAGACCAGTCTGATGGTAGGAGAGGGATAGGGGTATGTGTGAATTTCCATGCCCAGAAAACACTTGATGTATAATAGGTCCTCATTAAGTACTTTCGGATGGACTGATGATAGATTTTAACAGTTCACAGCAAATAAAATATGGCAGAGATTGCTAATTGTCTCCCCAATATTTACTTTCTCTCTTTTCCTCTTTTTTCATAATAGAATGTCCCCCAGTTTTATCTGGGTCTGTCAAGAGGCATTTCCCAGCCTCAAGTGCAGCTAGGTGTGCCCATATGACTGAGGTCTCACCAGTGGGATAGAAGTAGAAATCACATATGCGTCTTCAGGTCATGGCTTTAAAGGGAACCAGCTTGCTCTTCACTGTGGACATGACTGTAGAACTGATCATGCAGAGGAGGACAACTTAGTGGATGGTGGAGCAACAAGAGAAAAGGAACCTGAATCCCTGATAATCTTGAGGGGCAGAGGCACTGTACTGCCTAAACCATGCACAAGTCCAGGCTTACATGTGAAAGAGAAATACGCCTGTCTTGTTTGTCACTGTTAATTGGTCTTAGTTAAAATAACTGGTTAAATTCCTAACATGTTTCCATCACTCAAGTATGGCCGGAAGTATGAGAGGGTATATATCAAGTTTATTATATCCTAACACCATCTGAGCGGGGCTGAATTGAGTTGAGGGGCTGCTTTCCATATTACTTCAGGAATTTCTTGAACCATTTAAAATGAGCATTTATAACTTAGTAGAAATAGCTGCTATTATAAAATATTAAAAACTATTTTACTATCTCTTGTATATCCTCTCTATACTCTTGTATACTCTCTCTCTCTTCAGTTATACCTCATTTACATTCTCTTATCACTGAAATAATTAGATTAGACACAGAGATGATAGTAGTGAGATTAAAGTAAAAAACTATACATATAAATGAGAAAACTAGAGAAGATATTTTGTTTCTGCAAGGAATTTCATACTTAATTTTGTGGTTAATTTGCTTTTTAAATAATACATAAACATAGATTTCTCCCCTTGATTCTAATAAAACACTGCTATGGAAATTTCCCTTTCAGTGTGAATAGGAGCATTCTACTTTAGTTCATCTGGGAAATAGCTGAAAAATAAAGTTTGCATCATTGAGATTTGATTTTGCCAGACCATAATATTAACTTTTTGAAAAGTCTTATTTAAGGTTCTAAATGTCAGAGGGGTAGTTGTACAAAATATATGTCAATTTATTGATTTATGTCAATTTTTATTGACATAAATTTTATCTAATTTATGTCAATTTTTCTATTTCTTTAAATAAGAAACATTTTATTCAAGGTTCTGCTTCCAAGTTTAAAGCTGAAGCCATGGCTTCAATCTTATTCCTTAAATCAGAAAAAGAGAGTAAAGGAAGAAATTAAAGTTGAAGGAAAATGAAAATTACAGTTACTGTAACTTTTTCTTTCCTCACTGATGACAAAATCACAACCTATTTTTATAAATCCACTGATAACCATAATTATTGTCGCTTTGGAGAAAACTACTATGTGAAGAGAACAAACATAAGCGAACACTCATTGGACACTATTTTAATGATATTGTATGTGAAAAATAAATGGGAATGGATTTTCATGCAACTGAGTAATCAGCAACCTGAAATTTAAGGAAAATTGAGTTTTTATTTATTATAATTTTTTATACCCATGACTGTGGTTCTCTTACCTTTGATATCTTCATAAGAATCATATGATTTTCTTTTTGGAATCACTACAAAGTTTGTCAGATCTAAGATAGGATTTTGTCCCCAAAAATCTCCATCCAATGTGACTTCCACCTCCTCTTCTACCCACTTCCTGGACTGACATTTTATGACAACTACAGGAGAGAAATACTTTCAGTTAATTTGACTATTGGGTTATATGATTGGTCTTGAGATAGAAAAAATGAATTATGTTATGAAAAATAAAAGTTCCTTTGGCATACTTTGACACGTCATTGCATCTGGTATTAACACACATACACTCATCCAGTATCAACATACATTGACATTTTGGAAGCAACATGAATATTAAATAATATTTAAAAATAGCATGACAAGAGATAAATCTAGAAGATACACACCAAAGTATAGAAGATTACATTAGGATGTAGAAATGTGATTCAGGGACTGGATTTTTCAGCTAGCTGTATACTCATTGTGGTAAATACCAAACTTTACTTATATAAAAATACTACAGCAAATACCTTCAAATAATTAAAAAAATAAGTTTATTTTATAATAACACTTATAAAATATATTTTATTAAAGTATCTCCTAAACCAAAAATATTAGTTTATTTACATGCACCTTAAAATTCACTTAAATTAAGTAAAATATTTTGATTTCCATTTGTGAATTGCTTTTAAATTTACAAAATACACTATTTAGTAATTAAAAATTGTAACGAATTATTTAAAGTTAATATTAAAATGTTATTACATATTAATTTAGCATACAGCACTAAAACATTAAATATATAACTTTACATATTTCTATATATATATAATTCCAACATTTTCCTATATAAAGTGCAGAAGTTGTTAATGATCTTGTGAGCAACCAAAATATTATGTCTATATCAACTACTAATTATATAAAGGAATATTAATATATTGGCATTAGCTGTATAATATTATGGGGCCATGTATGCTAGAGTTCATATTTAAGAATATTATTTCTCCAAAATATATTAACTGTTATATTTTTATCAGTTCAGATGCACATAGGACATAAATTGAATATGAGATAAAAAGGGAGTCATAATACTAAAAAAGCTTTGAAATGGATTACACTATGCTTTCGTGGCATCAATAATATTGATAATATGTTCATCTGAACAGCAAGATTGGATAATGTCCTCAGATTTATGTGTTTTCACAGTATAGACCACATTTATAGTAAAGAAATGTTTAAAATAAATTTATTTTAATTCTTAAATTTACAGGTTAATACTGAACATTTTGGACTTAGAATATGTGAAATGTACAACAAGGGTACAAAGTTAGATGTAAATTAAGTGGGTTGAAATGGCTGAGGAAAATGTACAAGCTTTTCTGGTTATCATTAGCTTCAGTCCTAAAGCATTAAATTGGAAATTAGTGTGATCAAAGTTACAATTAGTATCATGTCATTGGTCTTGTCCTGTAAGTCCTTAGGAAATTACTGCCCTAGCAATGCCAGGATTACTAAACCACAATGGATTCACATTCCATTGTCTTTACACTGTGATAGGGAGTACAGTCCTTTTCTAATTATCTACCCCCAAAGGACAGGAGAAAAAGTGGTTCACAGAGCAACAAAAGTACCCTGGGCTTGAGAATAACCTGGGTTATAGATACATAGAAAAAAAAAGAAACAACAAACATTGATGGTGACACAGTTGAGCAGGGAAAGCAATGGGTTATTTCTGATGTGCTCTTAAGAATGAAGAATGGACTGTACTGAAAGTAAATAATATTTACGTATAAAATCATACCCATCTGTTTCTCAAGGGCATTTGTAGAGAAAAAGAATTACTAGAATAGGTTTTAGACTTTTGGTAAAATGATTTAATAACTAGTACACAGTCTGTTCAGAACACAGATGTTACTACTTGGTTGTGCTAATGTAACACAGGCTATTTACAGAACTCACATTTACTTTAAAAATCTAATAATTATGAAAAGAAGTGACTTGATAGAAAATTTCTATGTTTCTGGAGCATATTTAACCTTTGAAGAAAACTGTGCAAGAAATTTGTATTTTCTCATAGGTTTTATTTTAGACTTTAAAAAATCTGCTTTAAGTCTTTAATCTGGGAAAAAAACAAGCAGTGTCTGGGGTAGACATGAGCAACACTGCTGTTAGAATCCCAACAGAGTAATGTCTAGGCTGTATTACATCACTTTGATCAGAAGACTATTATAAATTTTAAACTGTTCAGCTCTTTGGAAAGTATAAAAACAACTATGTTTTGAAGGAAATAAAAAAAAAGCATTTTGACATGTTTTTGAAGCATTCTGAAGATAATTTAGTATATATGAAATATTTATGTGTTGATAATTTTTTGTTGTTGATAATTTTTTAACTCAAGAGTAAAAATATTTCAAGTAAAACAAATGACATTTATTGTCAAAGGTACTGTTAGTTATGTGGATTTTCACTCCAGTTAAAATCAAACTACACAAGGAAATATATAATCTTGGCCTTCCTTTATAACCAGTGTCTCTGGGGAAATGCTGTTATTCACAAGCAAAACTGACTATTTTCTCTTCTAAGTGTGGTGACATAATTTGTATCAGTAAAGACTAGCTCTTTTTCACTAGCAAAGATTGGTATTGGAGGGAGAAGAAAAATTCAAAATTTCAAGACTTCTTTTAGCTTATCTGTGTTGCTCAAGGTGGAGATCAAAAATAGATATCCCTTTGCTGTGCAATTCAGTGATTCTTAGTTATGAAAAACTATGCCTAGAGCCTGGTAAGAGGCTGGGATACTAAATTTCACCTTATGGTTATCTAAGAGGAGTTGTGATTCTTACGCTGACCCTGGGAACAAAACGGGAAAATAAAAGTATGCAGAAGAAGTGAGAAGAGTGTTGGGGAAAGAGAACATACAGAAACTTGAGAGAAGCCTGGAGTATGTGGAGAAAAAAAAGGGTCATTGAGGGAAAAAAAGGCATTATAAGAGTAGGGATTTTACGTTGCATGTGTGGTGGCCAAGCCCACCTCCCTAAAATCTGTAGTACATTCTGACTGGTTTTTGGAGAACACCATAAAAGTTTTGTATCTGGGACAACTAATAGAGGAATCATTGCCCCCATGAGTTACACAGAAGCTAGAATATGGTGATTAAATGTGATCCAAGAACCCCAGTACCCAGGAATCTTACAGATCTAGCACAGGGCTCTGAGCATATCAAAGAATATGAAATAAAGGGGTCTGAATTTAATGTTATTTCAATCTTAGTTGATTTGTAGGTTTTACCAACAAGGAAGACAACAGGAAATGGTATGGTTTTGTGGAAAGATCATTGGACTTATTGTTAAGAGACAAGATTCAGTCCTAGCATTTCCACCAATAGGGCTAGGTCACTTTACAACCTACTTTCTCTGGACCTGGATTTTCTTACTTGTACAAAGAAGAGATGGGATTAGAAGGCCTCTAAGATACCTAAAATCCTGGTGTTCTCTGACTCTAAGATATACCTACCTTGGGGGAATTTAGGATGTGGTACCTGTGGGAATCCAAGAATAGGGTATATCCAGCATATTCCTGGGATTTCTTCACTGTCTATCCCCAAAGCTCTAATTAGAAATTAAATTATTAAGAGTGAACAAAAGCATAAACACTTTCAATATTAGCATGAAATGACATATTTTTTAGTAACCTAATGGTGTTTTAGCAAAGCTTGTGAATTTAAACTTTGGCAGAGAAAAACTAAGTACGAAATACAAAACATTTTCTGCAAATGTTGATTTTATAACCATTTCAAACCAAACCCTGGTAAACTGTCACAAAGAAAAATGTAATACAACCATTGTAAGATGCAAGTTAAAACTGAAGAACTTTTTTCTCTACATTCAAAGGTTAGTACAGCAGTTGGCCCTCCATATCTGTGGGTTCCGAATCCACAGATTCAACCAACTGTGAAATTAAAATATTAAAAAAAAAAAAAAAGAAATTCCAGAAAGTTCCAAAAAGCAAAACTTGTATTTACATAGCATTTACATTATATTAGGAATTATAAGTAATGTAGAGGTGATTTAAAGTATATGGGAGGATGTGCATAGGTTATATGCAAATACTATGCCATTTTATATAATGGACTTGAGCAACCATGGATATTGGTATCTGCAGGGGTCCTGGAATCGATACCCCATGGATTCTGAGGGATGACTGTATTGGTATTTACTGATGTGACTAAACTGATTAATCAGAAGTAATACAGTTTCCATATTATGTTCTAAACTGGATGGGCAAAGCACAAAACACAAAAAATACCATTAAGTACAGGACTTCAGAAAGTTATCAGTAATTTACTTTTGGAGGCTACCAGTTAAAAGAAAAAGGGCATTTGTAAAATTATTCTACGTCCATCATACACCATCAGGAGAAAAGCAATACTAGAAAATGATTCTGGTCGTTGTTGAAAACAGGCTTTTCTTATGAAAAATGGAACATAAGACACGACAGGCAGGACCAGCTTCATGGGCATGTGACGTATGCAAGAACTCCACACTTGGAATTGCTCATGTTTGTTTAATGTCTTGAAATTCTTAATACTTTTTGAACAAGGGCCTCCTCATTTTCATTTTACCCAGATCACGTCGGCAGTCTTGATTGCAGGAGTGGTAAAAAGCCTGGGAGAATGGACTCTGAGCCCACAGGAAAGAATTTTCTGAATGTGAAGAAGAAATATGCACATATAGGACAAAGTAAGAATTTCTTTTTAATTAATAAAGTTTCTAGACAAGTATTTAATTAAAATTATAAAAGCAGAGAAAACATTTAAATTTTGCATCATCACTGGAATCTGCTTAAATTTCAGCGAAGCAAAGAGGGGACAAGTAACCTGCATTCTGGCAACGACAGCACACCCTAGTCATGGCAGTATCTCATCAGGACGTCATATACCTGGCACAGTGCCATCACTTGGTGAACACAAGCATCAGAAGTCCTATGCTTTGCCCAGACAAGCTGTTCCAGGTTGTTCTCTAGATACAGACTCAAAAAGGAGTCCCTTTGCATGTATCTGACTATGATTCACTGATACGATACTTAGATTGACTTGTTCCTCACTCTGAACTTCAAATCAGCAACGATATATACAACCCCGTATATCAAATATATTTTCCCCCTCTGACCATGTAAATTTGAACACTTCATGAACTTCACATTGCATAACATATAAAAGAAACCGATCATATCAATGCCAGTCAAAATGAAATCATGTTCCTTCAATGTGCTATGTAAATGTTACCTTTTCACCTCTGTGTGCAATTCTTTAAAATTGTCAACAGGCCACCTTTCTCCACTTGCCTTCTTCATTTGAACAATGACCATTGTTTTTTGTAATTTCATAACCTGGGGCACAAATAACACCTGGATATCTACAGTCCCTTTAGGAGGCAATGCAATTCCTGTAAAAAAGAAAAACACACACACAAAAATAAGTTTTAATGTGGTAAACGTTTTTAGAATATAATTTTAACCACAGAAAGTAACCTCTCCTTACTGATGACCTAAATTTTTTAAAATCACTCCTGAACAAAAAATACATTATGCTAAATTATAAGTGCACTTCACTGGCTTCACTAATTTTCCTCAAATGTCACCAAAATTCTTTAAAAAACACATTTTATCCTGAGCCAAGGAGGTTCTCCTGAAGAGGCTGGAAGAATTGAAGAAATGTTGATAGTGATGGCTTGAGTTTCCCAGAGTGATAAAAAAAACCCCATAAAACCCATGGATCTTTTCAAGTCTTACCACATTTTGCATAAGGCAAAGTACAGCAATTTCTGACCCTTTCATTTCTTTGCATATTTTTGTTCTAGACCATAACAGCTCCATGTTTCTGCTTGGAGCCCCAGAATTGCTACCAGTAAACTGTTCATTTCTTTAACTGATTCACGAAGGAAGCCAAAGCTTATTTGTGAAAGAAAGGGGCATCCACTTCAAGTTGTAAAAATCAGAAGACAGAAAAACAGACAGCAATTTCTTGTGTTCTAGTGAATTCGAATTTTTCAACCTTTGCTTTGAATAAGTACCACCTGCGAAAAACTTGTTAGACATGGAGCTTGCTAAGGCCCAACTACAGAGATTCTGATTTGTTCAGTCTGGGCTGGGACCTCAAAGCTGCGTACTTAAGTAGCAGCTCATGAGATCCAGAAGCAGGTGATCATGAGACCATACTTAGAAAAAAACCCTCTATCTACTGGACGAGTAGTGAGCTTCTAGCCATTTGTAACAGTGAAGATTTCCAAGTGATCGGTGTCTTCCTTTATTTTGAAGAGTAACACTCTTTACAAGAAAATGGGATTACTGACTATATTTTAAAAATTCTTTGTTATAAGATTGATGATATTCAAAGTCATTTTGTCTCAGATGAGAATACTGTACTAAACTATTAAGAACATCAAGAAAGAAAATAGAAAATGGCCCCTCTGCAAAATATCCCAACTCAAAATTCTTATAAATTTTCAAATTTTAAAGTTTATTCCTTCAGGAAATGAAAATTTTCTAAGGTGTACTGTCATACTTAACAATAACTAGTAATTAATATGATTACGAGTTAATATTTATTCACTACTGATTCTATGCCAGGCTCTGTGCTAAGTATTTTTCACACAATTATCTCATTTCATTCTCAGAAAATCACCATAAACAAGTGTTATTATGTTTCTCATTTTAGAGATGGAGATACTGAGACAATTTGGTTAAACAACTTGCCCAACGTCCCAATGAAAGATCATGTTGTTTACTAAGATATCTGAAAAATTTCTATCTTCAATTTTGCCTTTATGAGTTCTGTATTTTCAACGAATCACTGCATTCAAATAAGTAAAAACAGCAAGAGCCAGAATAAAATAGGATAAAGAGCTGGAATATGATAAAAAAAAAAGCAGAGCTGAGTCAAATAAACCATACATTGCATCTCCAAGGAAAAGTTTAGAAATGATCATTTACCCTTACAAAAGTATATTACCACTAAAAATAGATTATATTATAACTAAAAATAAACCCAGACATTTAGATGGTGTAAGGAGTCAAGACAAAGATACAAAAGGGTACTTCATTGCTAACATCATGCTTTCTTATAATATTTGAAATGAAAGATAATGCTATAACCAATAAGCTCATTTAATTAAAAATCTAGCAGGCTATTTGTGGCTGTAACTTTTTACCAGTCTACAAATAGAACTATAGTTCCCTATTGAATTCACCATACATTTCTTTAACTACTATTACATGCTTAAATAGTAAGTCACTGCAATGTTAATAAACTTCCAAGAAATCACTGAAACTTAGCAATGAAAAGAACTTTGAGAATTTATCAAATTCATTTCATGTCTCACAAATATTTTATATTTTCTGTGGTTTTCCCATCGTCCTTTGCAACACTTTGAGTAGAGACAGAAAAGTCGTCCACACTTCTATCTTATAAAGAATCTAACCTATGTTTTCTTCTAATATCTATATATTTTCATCCTTATAGTTAAATACTCAATCCACTTGTAATTTATCCATATGTAAGGAATGAAGAATGTATCCAATGTTGTTGATTTTCTATATGAGACTAATTATCCAAAAACCACTTATTTAAAAGTTCAATGATTTGAAATGCCACCTACACGGCATTTCCTTATATATTTTGGTCTTTTTCTGGAGTCCCTAGATTCCTCTTCATGTGTAAGTACCACACTGTTTTAATTATAGATGCTTTATTTTCTACTAGAACTGTCTCCTCCCCCAGCTCATTTTTTTAAAAGAATTTTTCTAAATTTGGAATGAACAGTTAGCTCCAAGAAGGGGATGGCCTGGCAAACAGTTCTTTTAATGGGATTGCCCCACATTTACGCTTTAGGGATCACTGACATTTTTGTCCATTCACGATCTATTCAAGAGCAAGGATATGGCCTTTATTTTTCTCACTTGAGCATTATATTAGGTGCTTCTAGGTTCTTGGAATAGGTTTTCAGCCAGTGTTAGTGTTCAGTGTTGCTGGAGGCTCATTTCAGCATCTTCATATGTGTTTAGCAGGAAGCTGGGAGAAACCACATCAGTTGTTTCTATCTTCTGACTGGGAAATGTAGCTAGTGTGATGATTACTAAATCTATTAGGTTAAACAATCTAGTAAAACATATTCTAAACTCAAAACATTTTCTAAGCTTATCTTTTTCTGTTTTACTCCATTTCCATATAGTAACTACACAAAGTAACTACAGATGTATTTACTTTTTTCTATTACAGTTACCATTCGGGGATTCAAAATGCTAATAAGTATCTAGGGGGAAATATGCACATTTTATTTTACATAATTGATTTTAGGTACTTATATAGTTTATGAGAGAAGTATACATTATTTATATAATTTTGAGACCTGATAATACGTCATGTTTAGCATCTGAGAAATATTAAAAAGAGTGGCATTCAATGTATTATTATTATTGTTATTTTGCTTTTGAAATCTGCTATGGCCTAGCTGCACTTAATATTCAAATTTTATTCAGTGTATTCTAATACTGCTATTTTGACTGCTCTTTTGATCAAATGTAATAGAAATATTTATGCACTGATCTCCAATTTGAAATATAGAAATTGTACAATACTTTAATGGAATGAGGTTACTTGCCTTCTTAGAAGAAAATCTTCTCAAGAGCATAAAGTGAGCATAATACTCATTTTAGTAATGAAAATATTTCATTTGGAGAGATTAATTTTTAATCACTTTAGTGGTATTACACTACTGCTCCCCACAGCATAATTTCTAATATTTAGCATGGAATTAGAAATAGCCCATGTCAGGAAATCAAAGAGATACTTAAACATTCTAGCTCCCTAAGTGATGCTATTATTTTTGTTATAGTGGTTTCTTTAATTAATTTATTTATACTTTTGTCAAATGTCTATTTGTTTGTTTTAACTGAAGTACAGTTGATTTACAATATTGTGTTTCAGGTGTATACCAAAGTGATTCAGTTATACGTATATATGTGTATATATCTATATTCTTTTCTTTGATTCTATCCCATTAGTTTATTACAACATATTGATTATAGTTCCCTGTGTTATACAGTAAGGCCTTGTTGTTTATCTGTTTAATATATGGTAGTGTGCATCTGTTAATCCCCTACTCCCAATTTATCCCTCCTCCATCTTCCCCTTGGTAACCATAAGTTTGTTTTCTATGTCTGTGAGTGTCTTTCTGTTTTGTAAATAAGTTCATTTGTACTATTTTTTTTAGATTCCACATATAAGTGATATCATATAATATCTGTCCTTCTCTGTCTGACTTACTTCACTTAGTACGAGAATCTTTAGGTCCATCCATGTTGCTGCTATAGTGGTTTATCTTAAATAAGAAAGCAAGCTTTTATTTCTAAAACATCAAGTCATCAAGAATGTGACTTTTCATCAACCACTTTCACACATGAAATGTGTGCACTTTCTACTTGAATACTTTATATTTTCAATAACTGATTTAATAATCTTTAAATTATCACTAAAAAATAGAACAGAATTGTTAATGTGGTAGTTTGGAGAAGAGTCCTTTCATTGGTTCTTTAGAGATATTATAGGCTGAATTATGCCCCCCTCCCCAACTCGTATGTTGAAGTTCTAATTGCCAGTGTCTCAAAAGTGACTGTATTTGAAGTTGGGGACCTTTAAAGAGGTGGTTAAGTTAAAATAAGACTGTTAAGGTAGGCTCTAATCCAGTCTGACTGGTGTCCTTATAAAAAAAGGAAATTGTGACACCAAGACAGACACCAAGGATGCCCACATACAAAGGAAAGACCATGTGAGGGCACAGTGAGAAGGCAGCCAGCTACAAGCCCAATAGAGACACCTTAGAAGAAATCAAATATCTTGGTCCCTTGATTTTGAACTTCCAGCCCCCAGAACTGTGAAAAAATAAATTTATTTTGTTTAATGCACCCAGACTGGTATTTTATTATTGCAGCCCTAGCAAACTGATACATGAAATTATCTTTCCTTCTATGTTATATCAGAGGCTGAGGCATGGGATGCCACTGAACTTGCTTAGAGACTTTCTAATTCTAGGCTCTCAAAACAGGACAGATAGAGAAATTTGACTCTGACTGCCATTTGGCTGCTATGATCATGGAAAAGCTAGGGATGAAGCAGTATTCCCATCCAACCTGTATCTTGCTGACTGAGGTGCATGTATTGAATGGAAGCATCTATTGAAGAACAAGAAGGGCATTTCAGGGATGGAATTTTCTTCATGAAGGATTAGAGACTGCTGCTGCTTTACTCCTCCATCTTTTATAGAGCGAGCTAATGTCTGAGATTTAATAAAGAACTTGTCCAAAGAAGACACCATTAAAAGGACTAGTGTACAAAAAGTGAGCACTAAGTAGAAGGTCACATTTACTCGTATAGGTCATTGGGGAATAG